AAGTTACTGATAGATAAGTATGCACATTGGATTTGAAAAATAAATAAGTACTAAAAAAGGACTTTATTGAAATAAAAACTTTTTCAACGATGATTATTTATTTTTGTTAACAAATTAGAGAAAAACTACTACGCATATTTAATACGATTTCTATGTCAATTATTTTTGTCTGAATGCAAAATTAAATTCTCTTCGACTTGATATTTATACTTATGGGATTGGTTATAATATTGATGAGTGTATAGAATTATTCTTTCATTCTTTTCAAGATCAATTTTCAATGAATTTCAATCTTATTGTGCAATTCTGTTTCGTTTACATCTGCACGTAAAATATACATATTTTCTTGAATATCTTATTCAACATACATATCTGCTCTCGAACAATTATCAATCAAATTTAATCAAACATAAGGTATTCAAGCGTGTTCTGTGTCGTTTATTGAAAAATTGAGTCAATCAAATGGAGATTAGTTTAATAAAGTAAGATAAAAATATTGTTGCTTTATTTTGTTTGTTTAATAAAAAATATTTGAGTGAATGATAAATCATCATATAGAATTGATTTTCTAATGACGTATTTATTTCATTGATTACTTTGATTGTAAAATGTTTTATCAACGTGAACATATTTAAAATCACTATTATTTTCTTTAAAAATTAAATGACATTATAAATCTTGAATTATTTATTTTAAATCGTTTATCTATAAAAGTTAATAGTGTATTTTAATTTGTTAGTTAGAAATTATTGTTTTGAAGAACAAAATCTATTCATGACATGTTCTTTTTCTTCACGAAATATAAATTAACTTTTATATCATCACCGATAGGAATAGTAGTCGTTTTCCTGCTTGAGGTTCACATGAATCGAGAATAGTGTACGAAATACTTATTAGATTGTAATGAAAGTATGAAGGTTATAAAAGAGTCTCGACTAGACATGTGCGGGACCAGTCCCGGTCCCGGTGGCCGGGACCGGGACCAAAAAATAGAATTTTACCGGGACCGGGACCGGGACCGGGACCAAAAAATAGAATTTTACTGGAACCGGGACCAGGATCGAAAAACAATTTAGTCCCGGTCATGTTTGCCGTTGATAAGAAACATCGGCGGAAATACAAGTGAGAACTGCTCCAGATCTAAAACCGGCAGATTCCGCAACAACTTCTCTGACTATGGACAAATAACAGAAAAAGTAAGGTTACTTAGACTGGGTGTAGAACAAAAACCAAATTTAACACATTCGACGCGATTCGGTTTTATTAAAGAGTAGCTCTAGAGATTCATTTTCGTCTGCATTCATCTTGCGATAAATGCACTGCTTGGTCTTTTCATCCTATGCTGATCTGTCGTTTTCTCTTTTCCATTTGTAATATCACATGTAGCGAAGTAACCATTCTGTAGTTTGGCGAAACCCCTGTGAGGTCATTTCAGCATGACATGCCATTCGAGAAGTTGAATCAGCAACCCAATTCAAGCGCGAATTCACTAATCGCAAGCTCGAAGAAAAGGAAGGATTTAAGGGCAATGTCCGCAGACGCTGTACTGGCTGCTTTGCGAAAGGAAGGGCACAACAGTCAAGAGAAGCGAGCTATGCGGTAGCAAAGAAAGTAAAAACGTTCTGTTGTGAGTAACAATTTTTTTTGTCTTGATTTTTTTAACAAGACCCATCATGCTATGGAATAACGGACACAAAAAGAGTTCTGAAGGCAGAACAGATAAAGCTTTATGTTCAACCTCCTGTCTAAGAACAAAGAAAAATAAAGTACTTTTCTATACAGTTTCTCGTTAAAATGTAGCGTGGCTCACTGTTAGGCCACATCGTAGCGAATGTGTTAACTGAGCCCAGGACTAAAAAACAGAATTTCACCGGAATCAGCAGCAAAAGGAAAAGTTCCACCGGGACCAAAGGAAATTTTCCACCGGGACCGGGACCGGGACCAAATGAAAATTTTCACCGGGACCCAAACCGGGACCAAAAAAAATTTACCGGGACCGGGACCGGACCGGGACCAAAAATTTAATTTCACCGGGACCGCGACCGGGACCGGGACCAAAAAAAGTTGGTCCCGCACATGTCTAGTCTCGACTGTACAAAGAACAAATGAAAAAATCATCTATTTTAATAGCAGTTTTGTTTAATCTTTTTCTCTTGATTGAGAAAAGCTTGTTTCTGCATTGTATTGTGTTTCGGATGTAACTACGATTATAATTGTTGTATAATTCGTAGAAAAATAAATCAATATTATTAATTTTAATTAAATTTAAATCTGTTATAAAAGATAATTCTCTTTTCTTAATATAATAAAAAAGTAAAGGATTGAGTTTGTAGATGTTTTCTTATTTCTTGAAACAAACTACTGAACTGAAAAACTTCTTATATTTATATGAAAATCTACTAGATAAGATTTTTTTCTCTAACGAACAATAAATTATTGAATAGTTTCTTTTGTATGGTTATTCTTTACTTTGAAAGATTTTCTTGATTGAAAGAGAAAGTGTTGTTATTAATTTTTCTTACATTCCTTAGAATATCAAAAAATCGCGTTCATCTGAAATGTAGCAGACTGTTTATTTATAAGAGTTTTTTGAAAATTTTTTTTCTATAATATATTTTTTTTTGTTGATATTTCTAATAAATTGTATAAACAAAAACGAGGTAATATTCAATTTAGAAAATTAAAAAAAAAACAAAGATTTGACTTCCATATAAATGAAAATGAAAGTTAAGTTAGTCATAATCAATTTAATAATGATAGTTCCTCCATTTCTTTTTATCATATTCATATAAATTCTTAATTGAATTATGTTTTTTTCTGTTATTTTAATAATTATCCGTATTTTTTTGTCAAATTTAGAATTAATTGAAAAGAAGCTATTCATCCGATAAAGTAAAAATTCTATTAAATTCAGTTGCAAGTATTTGAAGTAATTAGAAGGAAACATTGACTGAAAGGATCTTCATATTTAAGATATAATCATGAATATTCTCTTTCAGAAAATCTAGCACACTGAAGTTATATTTGAATATGCCATTGTTTTAGTTTAGTTCAGAGTGTGAGTGTCGGCGTAGGCATTGAAATTGAGTGAATATTAAACACACCCACATCGAATTTATCTAGTTTATTTCTCGTTTCTTTGTTGATGAGTCATTTATACGATTTTGTTGAATTGTAACTTTAAGAAAACAAAACTGACCTTTCATTTTAAACTGTTAACTTGTCGAGTGATATGGAACGGTTGTTAAAATGTGTTAAGAAAGATTCGTTAAAATTTCATTTTATAAATTTCAATAGAAAGTTCTCTATTAAAATGTAATGAAACAAAATAGACTGAAAAATCTTGCTACAATTTGATTGTGATTTAAAATCATGAAAACAAACGATGCTTTTTGTTTATTTTTATACACTACTAAAAGACAATTGATAGTTATCATTTTATACCTGCAGAAAAACAAATGTAACACGGCGCTACTGAATAGAATATAAGGCTTATGAGTATTTTATATAAACTGTTAAAATACACTAAAACTATGAAGTGTACCAACAAAACGTTCAATATCACATGGCAAGTGATCTGTTATTATACTCAGACATTGAGATTTTACCATGAGTACGCATAAAAAATTGTAAATCTACGAAGAAGAACTCGAACTATTTCTTAATAACTGATGTATGGTTTATATAAGAAAAAAATCGTGTATTTTTTGTTTTAATAATCTCATAAGCAATAAGTCTAGTTTGTCGATGTGATTCGTACTAAGGAATGAAATGTGTGCCATCTATTTATTAATTATAGACAATAATAAATAGTCTAGAAATTTAAGTTCAATGCCATCATCATCAATTGATTTAGCAAGAAGAAATTCTATTTCATGAAAACATCGTACATCAGTATTTCATAGAGAAATTCAACGTATATTTGAATAACAACAAAGATGAGAATATCGAGCAAATATTTGAACAACATAGACATTCTTTATTGTAACAGCTATTTATATTCTTATGTATTTATCATTAATTATAATTGGGTTATTCGATATAAAACCATATGAATTTCGTGAAGTTTTATTTTTGTATTATTACATTAACGGTGGAGTAAGTATAAAAATATTAAAAAAAAAATTAAAAATGCATTATTTTTTTTGTTTTTCGAGTGTAATCCACTAATAGATTCAGTTTTTTTATGTTAATTTTCGTAATAATATTCGTCGTTTAATATGAATGTCAAAAACATGTATATTTATTTTGATCAGATGAAAGAAAAATTTGAACTTTCATTATTATTTATATATATATATATATATTAAGTATAGCCGGTTAATAATCTATTTTTCGTCCTTGAAATGAAAAAAAAAGCGAGAATAAAAAAATCATAATACGTTAGAATCGTCATGATAGTGTTATAACTCTTGAATATAAATGAAAAAATATATGATAAGTACCATATACAAAAATAAATTATAAAATTAAGTAAAAACGGATAGACATTTGTTCATTCTCATCAATAAACACAATTATTCAAATGACTTTATATTGTTGATTAGAACAAAAAAAATGAACAAAACATGACACAAACAAAAAGAATAAGAGAAAATGTTTGTAAAAATGAACCAGATGACTAGATTCAAATGTTTATTTTAGTATAAATTAAAATAAAATCTATAAATTTTATTTCATAATAACCGGTGCTCGACTTGAATAAAGAGATGCTGGAGCAAAATTATCAAAACCTCGTTGACTACCAGTATATGTTGGTAAAGTATCAATAAATGAATGAATTTGTTTTTGTATAGGTGTTATATTTGGTAATGTTGCTTTTGATAATTCATCATTAAGTTCAGAATATGTATCATTAAAATTTTCTTTAAGTTTATTTGATGATCGAAAATTATACATCCAATATGAATCATTTGTTGATTGTTTTTGTCGATTTAATACACTTGCTTTTATTATCGGTGGTAAACGTTGAAGTTTTAAACATTGTCGTCGATGTTTTGGAGATGTTTCTTGTATTATTTCATCATTTTGATTTTCATTATGATTACTACTTACAATAGAAGAAGACGAAGATGAAGATTTTTCATTTAAATAATTATTTTTTGAATAACATATTTTATGATAATTTAATGTTTGATTTGGTTCATGATAAATTTCATCAAATGGTAATGTAACTTTTTTTCGACGTGTTTCACGACGAATAGATTTTTCAAGATTTTTATGTGTTATTAAATTTTGTTCATATTCACGTTCAAGTGATGCTAATTCACGTGCTAATAAAAGATCAAAATGTTTAACACGATGTTGAACAGTAGCATTTAGTAACATAATTTCTTCTCTGTATATAAAACTACTTTATAAAAAAAAAAAAGAAGAAAAAAAAGAAATTGTATTTAAACTGAATATGAAGTGTCTATATATGTGCTTTCATTCAAAAATTCACAAATGCTTATTGAAGAAGTAAGAAGCAAACAAAAGTAAATGAAAAGATATATTCTTAGGTGGTTTTCAACATCGTTACCAAAACTACCTTTTCTCTTTTTTTTTGAAAAATTGAAGTATATAAAAAAAAAATCAATCAAGGTTAACAGATGCTTGACGAGTTCCGTTTGATTTAGTTAATAAATCGAAGTAGATCTATTATTTTCTTTTACTTTCTTTTTTTTTTCGATGTTGTTTTGTCTTTAGACAGTAGGATAAAAAATTATTTTGATAAAAAAGAAAAATATTTGCAAAAAAGAAACCCTATAGTTGTTTTTGTAAGATTTTTTTTTTTTTCGTTCCATCGAAACTGACTCTTTTTTTTCTCTTGTCTTATTAAAGTATGATGCCATATAAAATCATAAATCTTGAAATTTTTACAAAACTCATATACTTTTCAATGTAAAATTTATCCGTTGAGTAGTATACGAGTAATATTTAATTGATTTAATCGTATCTTGAATAAATTAAGAATCAAAATACATCTTTATAGTTTTTTTTTGTTAATTTTTATTATGAATCTTCGAAATTCTAAGGTATTTTATTAAATGATTTCGACAACAACAAGCATTTCGTTTCGAATTATTCTTATAGAGGAAAGAACATTCAATCTTACATCGATTCCTATAAGATTTCGTCTATTGAAAAAAAAATAGTATCCATGTCTGTTGTTTGTCACTTGATTAACGACCAATGATGTGTTTGTTAAACAATCGATTCTGATCATTATGTTGTCAACCAAAAAAAAAAGAAAAAACGGGACACATTTAGTTAAGTTATTTTTAATCTTTATTATGTCAATTGTTAGCACTTTTTAAAGGCTACAAACTTATATGTTTACGAAACTTTTAAAAATGTTGACCAATGAAGAAAATTTATGCACATTATTTTTAAGATATTATTTAATGTTTTTGTTAGATGAATGTTTTGATAGATTTCAATCAAAAAACAAAAATTCAGAAATTATGTCAAAATGGATCTAAAACTTGAAATTAGGGTCGATTCAGAAAGTTCTAAAAACCATTTCGTATTTTTTTAAGTCTCTTACAAACATTAGAGACTGTTACTCAAAAAAAAAAATCATTAAAAAGTATACATGAAATTTTTTATTTGACCAACATTTTTCGAGTTTCATAAGCATACGACTGTGTAGCCTTTGAAAAACTCTATCGATTGACATATAAAGATCAACAGTAACATAATTCCGTTCATCTCTTTCTGTTGACAAGTTAATGAGCAGAATCGATTGTTTAACCAACATATGAAATAACGAATAAAACGTGTGAAATAAAAAAAACTTAATGAGTTTTTCGAGCAGTTCAATAATGTACAAATTTGTGGTTTTCTGTACAGTCTATAAGTCAAGATATAATTTCAATGATTATCTTTATACATTCTAATGTTAAGTAAATCAAACTGTATATTTGCTTCCTCGAAAAATATGAATTTTCTTTCTATTTGTCAAAATTTCATCGAAACAACAGATCATTTTTTTTCAATGTTTTATTTAAAAAAAACGGTTGATTTTAAAATGATTTCATCTTTGTATAATATTGGAGAAAAAGACGTCGCCGTATCTCCTCTATCGACTGGTGAAAACTGCAGTTTATTAGGCCTTTTTGTTCTTGAGTTATTGTAAAAACAGTAAAGCGCATTATATTTTGAACCCGGACAATAATTTCGATAGAATCCTCTCTCAAAATTTCTACATACATTTTAACATGAAGAATCAATTATCTTTTTGTATTGTAAAATTACAGAACGGAATATATGTAGGCTTCCTATCATCATCTGTGTATATGATAGATAGAAAACGTTTTTCTCTACAAATCAATATAAATTCTTTTCTATAGTCAAAAAAAAACAAAAACTTACAATTGTATTTGAAAAACAATTTATCTATGATCTATGCTATTCCAAAAATATGTTAATTATAATAGAATTCAATTATTTATTTATTTATTTTATATAGAATTTAATTAAATTCTGTTTTTTTTTTGTTCAAAAATTTAAAAACAATTCAATTTTTCATAAATAAATTATACCATTGATCTAAAAACAAAAGTTTTATTATTATTATTTTTTTTAAATGCCTGTTATTTCTTTAAGACATTTTTTTCTAATACAATTATGATCCGGTTTTAATTCATTGCCTTCATAAATTTCACATGCTTCAAGACAATTACGAAATTCATATGATTCTAAAAAAAAAATAGAAATAAAATCAAATCAAATAGACAAAAAACAAAAGTACCTTGATCATGAGCAAGATCATATTCATGTGCTTCAACAGTCATAGGAAAATTTTCTTGTTGAATTTGTTCTTTATCTATATGTATTGTTGTATTTGTTTGATTTTTATAATCACTTTTAATTGATATTATTTTAGTAAAATTTGTATGAAAACGTGTTTGATTAAACATTATTATTGATGCTGTAAAATTTTTTGATTTATGAAATGGTCCTATTATTATTGTAATACCATCTTTATTATCTTGTATTTGACGATATGGTATATGTCGTTGTCGTAATTGAATTTCAATTAAATCTAATTGTTTTTGATTAACTAATGTTTCAATTAAAGAATTATGAACACGAATACGTACACGTAATATATGTGTTGGTGGTAATGTTAAATTATTACGTATTTCATTTGAAATTGTTGTTGTTGTTGTTAAAGTTGAAAGAATACTATTTGTTGTTGTTGTATCTGTTGATAGAATAACTAGAGATGATGTTCAAGCTATATTTAAGTAATTACATTTAACATGAAAATTTATATGTTTAAATTCTTACCCATTGATAGACAATTATTTATTTTTGAATATTCAAAACCAATTAAAATAATGAAAAATATTTGAATTAAACTCATCGTTATTCAAGATAAATGATACTAACAATATATCAATGATGAATAATGATATTATCTGTCACCTTCATCGTTCTTTATATATGTTACCATTAAGAATATATATATATATATATTCAATTATATCTGGATAGATATAATGTGTATATATTAGAGAGAGAGAAAGGCAATGAACAAGATTTGTTTATTTTATATATGTCAGATATCTATCCTTCTGATGTAAGCATATCTTTGTATATTTTAACAGTAAGTAATCTATATAAAACAGATTCAGTTTCTTCTGTTATTATTCTATAGGATATAATTATGTGTTCTCATTAACTCTGCTCTCCTTTCCGTCTATTCCGTTTTGTTATGTTAATATTGATTATAAATGCCTATCATCTTATGAACTATTCTTCACATTCTATTATTATATGTTATAAGTGAAAAATTAAATGTTAGAGTAGAATAAATATAGAAAAGAAGTATGAACTAATTAAATTTGAAGTTAAGGCAAAAACTTAATAGTTACATGACAAAAGTTCATCGAGAAAAATCAAATAAAATTAAAAAAACAAAATAATATTTTATCATTAAGATTTATCGAATAATACAAATGAAATTTTTCTAATATAACGATCAATGCAAATATTTTTGAAATGATAAAATTTCTGATTACAATTTGTAAGTTCAACATTTTGACCCCTCCCGTCCTCCTTATGAGGGAACAGTCACAATATAAATCTTCTCTTCATTAATAACTGTAATCATGAAATTTTGAAGAAAAATCTTGGTTAAAGCATTCACTTTGAGTTTGCCATAGAATTATTATTGATGATAGAGACAATACTAAAAATTTAACCATCATAAATTCTTGAGATTAGTGTTCAACATATTCTATTTATGTTCAAACTAAAAGGATTAAAGTTTCGAAATATTTCAATCATTATACTTTTCAAATAGAGTACAAACATTTTTTTTTTTTTTGAGATGTAATTCCTATTTTGAAGAAAAAACAATGCATAAAAATCTTATCACAATATTTGACTTTATTCGTCAATTGCTCTTTTAAATTCATAAACAACAAGATACAAAAACAAACACGTTACTTCGTATGAAATATATGAGAAAAACAAAAAAAAGAAATGCAATATTATCCTAAACACACATACACATATAATACCTATGTGCACTGTTTCAATTGACTTCTATAATGACTATAAAGCTTTAGCTCCTAATAATTTACTAGTATATTCAAAAGTTAGATATGAAATTCCACTAGCTGGTGCTAATCGTAACATATGTAATGAAAATCCATTATAAAGACCTCTTAATCCATGATGTAACCATAGACGTTTTAAAATTTGTGTCATTGTATCGGATTGACCAATATTTGATTGAAGTCGTGTTCGAACATTTAATAATGGATAAATAAAAAATTGACTAATACTATTTGATATATTACCAACAATTAATTTTTCTAATGGATTTGTTACATGACCTTGATAAGATTCGATACGTCGTTTTAATGTTTCATATAATGCAAGTTCAATACCACTAGCTGGAAGAATAGCTAATGCACTCGGTAATAAACCTATAATTGAATTAAATTTATATATTTATTTTGTATAAATCAAATATCAAAAATAAAACAACAAAAGACTTCATCGATCGTTAAATCTCATCAAGCAACAATAGTTTTCTTTTTTTTGTTATTTTAATCCTTAAGAGCCAAATGTCCCTTCCAAAGAACATTAGAATAATTTCACTACAAGAGTTTATATATACAAAAATCAACATATTTCTGAACTGATATGACCTTAGTAATCATACAGAAATGAAAATATAATTCTCAAGTGATTTCTAAGCTGAACAATGGATCTTTTACTACTCGTAATCACTTTTCTTTTCTGAAGCTTTTTTTTTTTTATTCATATAAACGACGTGCAGCTTTGTTTTTTTGTTTAAAGTGATATTATTAATATCTGATGGAACCATTTCGTAAATTTTAAACCATTCGACTAACGCAGGACACTCTTATAAAGAAAATGTTCCTTCTATGAGATATTCGGTCTCAAGAAAAAATCGAAACAAATGGATTTTGACTTGAAATTTGCAGCAACAAATTTTGTTTACTCTTGGAAATACGACATGTTGAAGAGAAGCCGAATTTTATGAGTTTTTTTTTTGCAAAATGTTGCCGATTTTTTTCTGCGTCCAATATCTCAACAACAAAGCATCCGTTTTGAGTGAAAATTTCACGACAATCATTTAATCTAATTAAGGACAACATTTCATATGAAAATTCCTTTCTTTTAGGTTTGTGAAAGGTTCAAGATTTCTGCTAAAGAATATTGTGCAACTCTAGAAGAAGAACAAAGTATTTTGTTTAAGTTATAGTAGATGTTTGTACTGTCCGTCGAAAAGTGGCATATATTTGGGTCAAATGAAAGCTCTCACCGCCAAACTAACAAGGTTAAAATATTAGCTGCTATTGGATTGCCTAGAGGGAGATATTTAACTTTTAAATTTAGGTATAATAATGAATGAGGAAAGGCTTTCTCTACTATTATAAGGACAAAACATAGTGTTGTTCGGGGGCGATTAGGGGGTTTGTAGGGATCCTCTTTCATATGGCCCGAACAACACTATGTTTTGTCCTTGTAATAGCGGAGTGAATTCTTTTTGGGGTTGATAGAAAAAGTTGTTTCCGTCAGCTACAACAAAGATGTACTCTACTATTATAAGGACAGAACATGGTGTTGTTCGCGCCATATGAAAGAGGGCCCCTACAAATTTCCTAATCGCCCCGAACAACACTATGTTTTGTTCTTATAATAGTAGAGAAAGCCTTTTCTCATTCATTATTATACCTAAATTTAAAAGTTAAATATCTCCCTCTAGGCAAGCCAATAGCAGCTAATATTTTAACCTTGTGAGTTTGGCAGTGAGGGCTTTCATTTGACTCGAATATGTGCCACTTTTTCGACGGACAGTACAAACACCTCCATTGTAAGGATCTATCAGCTTTATTTTTATGGTTGTCTTCTTTTTGTTGCGAAAAAAAATACTCCTTTGAGCTTTCAAAGGATTAAATTTGCAAACATAAGATACAAACCTTTATAAAAAGCTCTTAAACCTTCTCCACGATATATTCTCATAATACAATCCATAATTGATTTATATTCATTTGTTTTACGTATAGTAAGTCGAGTCTACAAGAACAAAACTTTTTATTAAATCAAAACATTAAAATCTTATGTTTTTATAACTTTAATTGTTTTCATTGGATATATTAATGCACTTGCTGTAAAACCAGCTGCTGAACCACATAAAAATTTTTCTATAACACTTATTTCATGTGTTTGTGTTTGTCCAACTAATCTTTTAAATGTTTCATATGACATAAGACGAAGACCTGTTTCAGGTGATACTTTAATTACATTCATTAAATTTCCACGCCATAATGATCGAATACCACCTTCTTTTATCATTGAACTTAATGTTGTACGTATTGTCATTTGTCCACTTGCATCAAGACCATAAACTATAAATAAAAAAAAAACAATTATAAGTTTTGCAAAAAAAAGACAAATTGATGAATTACCTTGAAAAAAAGTTCGTAAACGATCAATTGGAGCTGTACATGTTCGACTAGTACCACCAGCAAAAATTCCAGCTAAAAAATGTCTTAACCAAAGTAATTGTGGTTCATCTAATGTACTATTATTATTCTTGATTTTCATCCTTGAACAATTCAAAAAAACAAAAACCAACAGATCATAAGATAAATTTCAAATTAAATTTTATTGAAACATAAAATGAAAATTTTCAATGATGAATAAAATCTAAATTTGATATTTACATTAGAGTACTATGCATTTCACATGCTTTATTCTCGTTTTTTTTTTTAATGTTTTATCTTATTCTAATATAACATTTGACTAAGACTAATACAATAAACAATACAAAAGAACAAAAAGAAACTTGAGCTGAGTATACAAAAGAAAGAAAAAAAAAACAAACCGATCATACTCTATTTTACTTTTCTGTCACCATGAGATTAATAAAAAAATAGTTTATATAGAAACACATGTTTATATTTATAGATGTATTCAAAAAACAAACAAAAACTAGCAATTTTATTTATTACTAATGTTATTACGATGAAGAATTCGTTATTAATTGTTGTTGTTGTTGTTGATTAACTATTTCATTAGATATTGTTGTTGTAGCATTTATAGTTTGATCAACAGATAAAGATATTGAATGTATTGGTATTGATGATAGTTGTTGATTAGAATTATCATTAGAAGTATTTATTGATTTGATTTTTATTGCTTCGTCATAAGGCGGTGGAATTTCTAAAAAATAAAAGATAAAGATAAGTTTAAATATGTAACAAGTAGTGTATAATAAATAGGACAAAATCTTTTCTAACAATATTTGTCAATACATTACAAATCAAAGGCTGAATCAAATCATTTCATACGTTTTTTTTTGTTCTCAAAAAATGAATCAGTCACATTTTTAACGCATGAATGAACTCATAATTTATGTGTAAACAAATATTTGGTATAGAAATGCACTGAACCCGAACATTTGGGTTTCGTCATGAATGCAACAGCCGATTAAATAAAACTAGAAAATATAGAATCAAAAGAAAGGCTTTGACAATTGAATATAATAAGTTTACAGATAATGAAATTACCCCAAAAAAAGAACGAAAGCAGGATTTTAAAAATAAAATTAATGATATTTGGAACTATTCAAATCCGAAGTTGACAGAGCGTAACGTTCCTTTCCTAATATTTCTCTTGATACTCAATGTTTCGATAATTTTAATGTTGCTCTATACTTTGTTAATTAAAACTGAATTTTCTCTCGAACGGAAAAAAGATTTTTGCTTGATTTTTGTTTTGGAATATTTATCTATTCTATGAGATGAAAAAACAATCAAATTTTTATCACAAACGGTTTAATTTTCATTGAATTATACTAATGACAAAATTGAAAATGTCTTAACACGCATTGTCTAAAGCAAAAAAGTAATAAAATATTCTGAAAATACTTGAACAACTATCGAGTTTATTAACAATTTCAATTTACTCAAATGAGTTTTTAATTGGAAAATAAAAATTTGTCTACTTTGTTTTTTTTTTTCATTTTTAATTAGAGAATACCAATTTTTTTTTTGAAGAAAAGTGTTAATGACGAACAAGAAGATCTAATCAAGAACATTTTCTTTTTTTAATATAAAAGAAGTTTTTTGAAAATTTTATGTTTGAATCAAATTTGATTTATCTAATAAAAATTAAATTTAGCAAAATTTTCATTTTTGATTATTTGAAGTTTTTATTTTCTTTAATAATTACCTATCTGAGGTACAACACTTTGTTCATAACTTGGTAAATCAACATGAATTGTAGGATTAGAATCCTCGACATCTCTACAAAAAAAAGCAACAAAATTAAATTAAATATAAATTCGTTTTCTACAGTTATCGAAACGTGAATCTAAGACATTTCCAAAAAAAAAGAAAATTGATCATATAGATTTAATATCGAATTTTTTTTTTTCGTTATGATAACTCGTAATTTAAATGAGAAAAAAAAGAAATTAAGCTGAGAGAAAATATTCATGAACTCGATAAATATTTGAGTACATATGACTGTCATTTGATTTATTATTAATTAAATTTTGTTTTTTAAAGAACATGTCAAGATAAGAATCTGACAGAACTCTTTTGTTTTTATGATATAATAAGTTCAATATTTAAATTAAACTCTCTTTAACAGCTGCCATCTATTTATTGAAAAACAGTGACATAGACATGACTTACAAAAATTATTTGAGACAGATCTTTGTTTAAAAATTTTTTGTTTTTTTAAAAAAAACTATCAAACTCAATATCTTATGATTAATTTTTACAATCTATAGAGTTTTCCTCGGAAAAAAATATCTTCTTTTTTTTACATTGTTGCTCACTGTAAACTTAAGGATCTCCTCCACCTCAAAATCGATATGCCATATAGGATGATCTGTTTAGACTGAAATTTTCAAAAATGAATGATTGTAATGAGAAACATTTCTAGTAAAAATTTCAGCTCGATATGTCAAACTAGACGAAACTTCTGTCCTGGTTATAGCCTGCAAGAGAATCCTTATAGGATTTGGGATGATTTTCAAATTAAAGCTAACTCCAATTAGAGATGTAAGCCATCCAGCTGCACCGCCGCCACGTAATCGTAGATAGTTTTTACGAATTTTTGAGCCGTCGCCGCTGTGAAAAAGTTAGTTCAGCCGTTGCGCCGCCGCTACGAATGAAAATTTTTGATAATAGTATGATGCGCCGCCACGATTGACATCAATACATAAGCGATCGATCATTTTCCTGCCTTTTAAGAGCAAAAATGTTTTGTTTTTGGTTTTTTTAGTTGTCAAAGCCGCCGCCGCCATGGAAAAAAAATTGAACCATTAAAACAGCCGCCACCGTTTGGCCCTTCGGCTTACACCTCTAACTCCAATGTGCAAATTTTCATCGAATCAAATTTAAAAAGTGATTTTCATTCATTTTTTTATGATTGTTTCAATACATATGTAGTCGAAATACGCTAAACAAAAAGTTCCTACTGAATCATATTAAATCTCGCTTTATTTCAATTGCAGAAATCAAATATAAAAAAATATCTGTTCGGACAAAATGTTATTCTTGCTTAGACCTTTAAAACAAAACAAAAAATCTTGAATCATGCGAAAGTTATTTACATTTTTCTAATCAAAAACTATGTTTTTGAGAAACATAATAAATATGTTTACAAAATTGATTTTTTCATTCAAATCCAGAAATAATCAGATATTGAGAATATTTATAAGGGATTTCTCAAAGCACGCAATCGATGACATCTTTGAAAGAGAAAACTTCGCTACATTCTTCCTATGATAAAAACTTAACTTTCATCATATTACAAAAAAAAAAAAGTGGATTTTCTGAAGGAAAGCCTTCTTAACATGTTCTTTAGAGAATTCTCAATTGCGTGATCAAAATAAGACAAACTATTCTTTTTTTTCTTTTTTCAAGCGGAAAATAAGATATAAAATAAAAATAAAAAATGTTTTAGTTCAATCAAAATACGAATCATATAAATAATTTTACCTATTATTAATATTTCTTAAATAAATTGCACCAGAATTTTGAGCTTGTAATTGTGCTTGCTAAAAATGAATTTTTATTTTATGAGCATAAAAAGAACAATTTCTTACTCTCATTCGATCAGCATTAAATTTTCGTAATTCTATTAAGATTTTTTCGGCTGATATCCAATACATAAAAGCAAATATAAGTCCAATAATACTAATTAAAATAATACAAAATTAAATTAATTATATATAAAATAAAATACCCAAAAATAATAAATGATACAGAAAATCTTTGACTTTCCAATGAAGCTAATAATGAACCAGATATAATAAGAAGAATTCCAAAAGCTAAAATATACCAAAAAAAAAAAAAATGAAATGAAATTTTCAACAAAAAAAAAAAAAACAAACCAAAAAATGTTATAGATGATATTTTTCTTTTTCGTGCAATATTTTCAATACGTTCATTTGGTGAATTATGTGGATTAGCAGATGTTGATGTTGCCATAATTATATGTATTGCATTCATTCTTTTCTTTTTTTTTTACTACATATAAAAAAAAATAAAAGTTATGTTCTCGTATATTTTCTTTTTTTTTTTGAATAATAAAATATTGATTGGTTGAAAAGTTTTAACCAATAATAAATGAATATATATTATTGTTATTTGTCAATTAATTTCAGACGATGTCGAGCAGTAATACAGAACGGTCAAATTTTCGTGGTAATCGACCACTTTCATCAAATCCACCACATTCAATTTGTTTAACTGATCGAAAAGTCGTTTCATTTACACATTTATGGACAATTGATCATTTTCAATCATATTTAGGTTTTTTTTTTTTGTTTTTTTCTTATTTATTTATTTTTTGTTATAATCTAGATGATCCTCAATCTCCTCGTGTATTATTTAGTTCATATTTTTCACCAACATTTGGTCCACATACTGATACAAGGTAAAATTAATAATTTTTGTTATTTTTTAACTAGACAAAATAAATAAATTTTGTTTTTTAAGTTGGTGTTTAAAACTTTATCCAAAAGGTGTTAATGAAAAATCCGTTGAATATATAAGTTTATTTGTTAAATATGTTCGTGGTCGTACTGATTTATTAGCTAAAGCTGAATTTTCATTAATAAATAGTCGTGGAGAATTTCATATTGTACGTAAAACACCATATCATGTTTTTCCAACAGGTGGTGATTGGGGTTATTCAGAATATTTAATGCGTATGGTATTAACAACACAACGTAAATCTGAATTATTAAATTCAGATCAAAGTTTAAAAATTTTTGCACGTGTTATTATTGTTGGTGAATCATCATCATCAATAATACATGAAGAAAAAAAAAATACATATGATAGTTTAGTTTCATTATCAACACATTTTAATTCATTATTATCAACAAATAAAGATAATTGTTATGATGTTACAATTATTGTACGACCAGAACAATTTAATAATTTAATTTATGATAATAAATCAAATGATATACCATCATCATCGTCATCGCCAAAAAAAACTAATAATCGTACAAAACGTAAACGATATAGTTCAAATTCTGGTGGAAGTAGTGGTGCAGGTGAATCATCAGATGAAACAACTTCAACAATATCAGCTATTTCATCAATATCTACAACAACAACAACATTTTATGCACATCGAAGTATATTAAGTGTAAGTTTTTCTATATTTATTTTGAAAATTTAATTAAGAATTTGAATAAATAAGATGTTTTTTTTTTTGAGAAATATTTTTGTAATATGTCATCGTCACCTTCATGTTGTACTATTAGATAACATGCAACCAATTTTACATTGCAATTGATTTTTTGATTAACTAATAAGGCTCATTAGAGCTATTTATAGGAGTTCATTTTCTTTTGCTCACCTATATAAATATTAGCCTTTGTGTTTGAAATTACGACAACAAACTTCATCTCGAGCAAATTTGTTTTTTCGGAAGATTCTTTTTGGAAAGAATTTTTATTAAAGCATTATGTTACTGCAATTTAGACTCAATAAGAAAAAAAGTAGTCCTATCAACAATTATACAATCTACACACTAAGAATTTTCAAGTCATTGGATGCAGTTCATCGAGTTACTTATGAATAAAACTACTTTTTTTCGAGTTTTTTAAAACAAGTGTATATGACGTTGTTTTTTTGGTCAATTTTGTCTGCAGAATCAGGAGATCATCGTTATAATATTGTAGTAAGTGAAAATTACGTATCTATGGTAACGGACGACTCTAATCATGATATTTAGAATTTAATATTATCAAAAATTGGAAATATAGTTGTTCATAGATAACTCAATATGTTCTATTCAATGACATTAAATAAACTGAAACAACAAATTTGTTAATTAAATATAAGTTATATTATTTATTTAGGCTCGTAGTCCTGTATTTGCTGCAATGTTTTCTCATTCAATGTTAGAAGATCAAAATTCTACAATTGAAATAACAGATTTACAAGCTGAAACTGTTCGTTGTTTACTTGAATATATTTATACATCGAATGTTGAAGAAATAAATGAACATAATGCCATAGAAATTTTTAAAGCTGCCGATAAATATGAATTAGAATTTTTAAAACAAAAAGCTGAATTAATTATGATTAATTCATTATCAATATCAAATTGTACAATGCTTTTTATTGTTGCTGATTTACATAATGCAATTGAATTAAAAAAACGTATATTAAATTTTATAATGCGTAATATAATTGAAATAATTGAAACAGATGATTGGCGTTTATTAGTTGAACAACATCCAGTATTAGCAACTGAAGCATTTGTTTATTCAGCTGAACATGCCGCATCATGTGCTTGTTCTTTGTAATAATTATTTCTTTTATTTATGTATAAATAAAAATAACGAACAAAAATTTATTTACAATCAAAAGAAAAAGGAATTCGATTTACGTTTAATTTAATTTCCTCATGTATATATCTATTAATAATCATATAGTTTAATCAAATCGAGAGTATAAATCCTTTTGACAAGACATTTCATGATAATTTTGATTTATTAATTTTGTCTACAACATAATCTTACTCAATCAATTTCAAAAACTATGATCCAACGTCAGCTGTACAAAAATATAATCTAATGAAAAAAAGTGATTATTTTTGTTTTGAATATGTAGAAGATAGGACAGATCTAGGATATTTATGATAGGAAAAACTAAGAAAAATCTTTTGAAATGAAAATGCTAACTAGTCATATCCTATTATTGAAGCAAATTCATGAAATCATCTTACTAATAGAAGGATCATATGAAATTTTCGAAAAATAAATATTGAAAAACTTTATATTTTATTTTAAGATTTCATAAATAAACATCTATCGTAATATCAAATTAATTCGGCTCAAATTCTTTCATATCTCTATTCTAGAATCCTCCAAAAGTACTCTAAATATTACGGGTTTTGATATTTAATACAACGAAAGAATATTATTAATCTATTAGAGTTCGAATACAATAGACATAAAACAATTCTAAGTTTACATAGAACTTAACAATGTATGATGAAATTCATCACGAAAGAGATTAGTATGCTTGAATGCTGATTCAATGATTAAATGTTTTTACATTTTTCTCTGACAAAAATCTATTATAAATTTATAATAGTAATAGTTGATGAAAAAATGAAATGAAGATAATTATTTATAATCTCTGTATTTTTTTTTTATCACAAAAACATTTGTCATTGTAAAATTGAAAAATAAAATTATCAACTATCATAATATTAATTTCGAAAGAATATAGAGAAAATAGACAATATAGAAAAAAAACGATTTTTTTATTGATGACGACGTATAGAATTTAATGCATAAAGTTCTGATAATGCAGTTTGATTAGTTATTTTCATTTTTCTATGTTGACATGAAAGAATTTTTTTAAATGCACGACGAAAATGTTTATTACATAATGGATAAATAAGTGGATTAAATGTTGAATTAACATATCCAAACCATATTGATATTGTAAATATAGTATCTGATACACAATTATGACACCATGCAATAACTAAAAATAATATAAAATATGGTAACCATGTTATAGTAAATACACCAACAAGTAATCCTAATTGTCGAGCTGCTTTAAGTTCTTTTTTTAATGATCTTGAAAGACTTGGATTAATAATATAATCAAAAAATGTTAAAATATTTATTTTATGATCATTATGTATTGGTGTTATAGACACATCAATTTGATGATCATTAGAAATTATTGTTCGATTTTCTATATTATTTGAAGAATATGTTGATGGAATTGTTGTTGTTTGACTAAAACAAAAAAAATAAATAAATCATTGAAATTATCTGTTTAACTTATTGATCATAATAAATGTCCATCATTTATATTTTATACTTTCATTATTCAATATATTAAAAATAAGAATAAAATATATCCCAAGATGTAGTTTACAATGTCACACGAGAAAGAACTTTTAGTTTTTTCAATCCCCATACCTTCGTGAAGGAAGTATCTGAAAATTTTGAGTCTATGACAACTTTTACTCGATTTATCAATATCTATCTACCTTGAAAGTTTAATTAGTGATCGTCGATGCGTTTTTGAGAAATTCTAGATAGAGAGTTCTCTTAAGTATCATACTACCAGCCAGACCTCGAAATGGGCTACCCGACTCGGTTCAACCAAATATTTTGTCGGACTCAAGCCGAAGCAATGTTTGGGTCAATATGAACCGGGCCGAGCCATAAAAAAGTGGCCTGCTACCGACAATTTCTTTTTCAATTCGAATTACACTAGTATTGAATTTGGACCGTATCGAGTATTTACGCATTTGTTCAAATAGTTCTAGAAGAATATAAGCGATTATAGAGGCATCATTAGATTCGATCAAGTTCAGCTTTGGATATTTTCAGACATCATTAATTTGTTTTTTTTTCTTTGAGAAAATCTGCTGTCTTTCAGTTTTTTGAGTCATTTAATTTATTATCTGTAGATTTATCATAGAAATTTTTCTTTTAGTTTACTTTCACTCCTTAATTTTATTAATTAACTGAAAATGACTGTATTTAAGAATGAATCCGAGCGTCCGGATTTGTTGCATGTCAAATTAAGTACTTCTAAAAATAGCCTTTCATCTCTTCAATTATATTCAAATCCAACGAAACATACTCACATGAAAATTATATTACAATGTCTAATCAATATGCACAATTTGAAAGTAAATTTGCTCTCAACGTTCGAAATTAGTTTGAACAAAATGTAACTAATTGGAAAACCAGAAGATACATCTATTAAATAGACTTTTGCTTTTCAAATTTTACATTGTTTTTGTCTTTTTTCAGTTTTTGATGATTAAGCTAACATTTATTATGTAATAATTAGAATCAAATTGGAATTTATTTATTTCTTAAAATAATCTTCTTGGAATTTTTTTAGTAAATCTTTGAAAATCAAGTTATTTTTGATCCCCGGTATCCAAAAATTTTGAACCTAAAACAAATTTTGTTTTACTAGTTGAGATCTATCTGTCTTGAAAGTTTTAACCATTTTGATCAAAGCATTTTTGAGATATTTTTTAAAAAATTCGATAAGAATTCCAAAGTCAGATTAAATTTCATCTTTCGTATGAATTATATATCATCATTTATTGTAGTGACGAAATAAGAGGAGTTAAACGCTTTTGTTAAAACGTTTTGTATAATCATAAAATTGTAATACTTACAGATTAATATTTTCAATTGGTATTGAAAAATTTTGTTCCATTGGATTAATACATATTGTTTGTTGACATTCATCAGATGTTGTTGATGATGTTGATAATGTTCGTGTTAAATGATTTAAATCAATAGATGGTATATTTGTTTGTCTATCAGCATATTTCATATTATTTGAAACACTTGAAGAAATTTTCATAAAATTTTTCTGAGAATTATTTAGTGGTAAACCTTCATTTTGACGTTGATGATAAGCTGTTATTGAAGATAATGATGAAAATAATATTTTAATAGGTTTTAAATGAGATAATCGAAAAGATGTTTTATCAATTGAAGATGATTCATCGGATTCTAAATGCCAAAGATGATGATTATTATTATTTTTTTCATTTGTTTGAATTAATAAATCACTATTAATATCAAATTCATATGATGGAATATTTGGATTTGCTATTATTGATTCATATGGATTAACAATAATTGATAATGATATTGGTTTTTCATTGATTTCATTTGATAATAAACATGTTGAATGTTTTCTTTCTTTATGATGAGAATTATAATATATTTGATCTTGTTTCATTTGTTGTCGTGTTGTTAATGATATACGTCTACCAAATTCCATTTTTGAACGTGTATGTATTGCAAACATAATACGACATGATATTATTATTATTGTTAATAATGGAATATAAAAATTAATTAATGCAGTTAAAGTTTTAAATAATTTATTTGAACGAAATGATGTATCACATTCAGTTGATTTAATAATATCACTATATTCAGGTATAATATGTGACCAAAATATTATTGCTGGTATCCATAATAATGATATTAACCAAACAATTATAATAAAACTCATTGCACGTTTAAATGTACGATTTCGAAGATAAAGTAATGGATGAACAACAGCCCAATAACGATCAAGACTTAGAAGAACAAGATTAAATATACTTGCAGTACTATAAGATAAAAAAAAAAAAACATTTTGTTTTTTTTCTTTTTTAAGAAAATAGATATTATAATGTACCTAGCAACATAATCAGTTGATAACCATATTTGACATAGAACAAATGAAAATGGCCATTGACCAAATATAATATTTGCTGCACTTAAAGGCATAACAAATATTCCAACAATAAAATCAGCAAATGCTAAACTAAGAATAAATAAATTTGATACAGCTCTTAAACGTTTTTCAATTCGTATTGCATAAAGTACAAGAAAATTACCAAATATAGTAAATATTGATAAACTAAATAATAAAAATCCTAAAAGAATTTTTTCAAATAATATATCGACAGATATTGTCGAAGAATTTGATATTATTAATGAAATTTGTAAACTAACATTCATACTCATTACATAAAAATATTTCATTGAATATCATAATAATAATAATTATTAGTATTATTTATCATTCAATTTTTAAATAATTATTTTCTTTTAAATATACTAAAATAAAATAGACAAATAATAATTTGTCTTAATTATTTTCTTATTTATTTATTTATTTATAATAAAAATTCACTTACGTCAAAAACAGATGGGTTATTATTACTCAATATCTTTTACTCATTTATTTTGACGTCAAAGTTTAAATTCAATCAAGAATGAATAACAGTAAAAAATGCTTCTACTTTCTTATTTAAGAAATTCTTAAAAGACAAAAAAAAAAAGGAAAATATCCTTCATTCAGACGGCAACAGGTGGCAAAAGGAAACAAAAAGTTTCTTGCAAGTACATAACCTATATCAAAGTATTGAAAAGAAAAGAAAAATATAAGTAACATTCTTTATTATTTTCACAAAAGAAGATCTCAAGCGAGATGATTAATCTAGATTCTTTTTTATTACTATTATTATTCTATTGCTTTCTTTTATAGGACTTTAATATAATCTCCATGTCAGTTTGAAATATATATATATGATATTAAAATAGAAATAATATAGACCGAGAAAGTGAGAAGAATTAAATATATAATTGATAGTGAACAACTAAAACAAAACAAATGACAAGAATTTTACATTAGGGAATAAAAAATATCTATTTATAAAAATCATTTTCGAAACATTGTGTTCTCTCAATTGAGTTTTCCTTCATTATGAGATCTATTTTCTAGTTATCATATCGAAGACAATGTGACCTACTGAAGTAGATCATAATAAAAACAAAACAAAAAAAACGTTGAAAGATTTCTACTCTATTTTGATTAAATAGACTAATCATTTTTTTTGCAAAGATTTCTTTCATAAGCCTAACGTCACTAAAGCGTGATATTATAATCGACATCAACAATGAAAAAAACATAAGATTTCAAAAAACAAAATATAAAAATTTTCTAAACTCTCAAACTTACTTACTTAGAAAATTCTTAAGAATTATATTTTATGGAAAACTATAAAATATCATTTTACTATCTTGAAGTTAATAATAATAATAATACTAAAGTACATCATAAATTAATGTTTGTTATATGAAAAAAATCTTTGAATATTTTTCATTGAAAAAAAACGGAAAAAAAGATTAACTCATTTAATTAAAATAGAATAGAAATATATTCAAGTATTTTCTTTTTGTTGTTCTATTTGGATTATGTCACTTCAAAAATATATTTAAAAAGAAAAATTATAAAATACTTCATCTATATGAATAATTTTCCTAAATATTTTCATTTCAAAGATCATTTATGTTCTTTTAACGAAACAAAAAAAAAATCTATATATATATATCTTACTTGAATTGTTCTGTATATTTTTTGTCTCGAGGTTTTTTTTTCCATCATATTACAAGAACATTCGTTTTTTTAGTATTTTTCCAGCATAGAACAACAAAGAAAATGTTACAGCGGGAACATCGATATGACAAAAGAAAATTGCCCATATGGTGCATAGAGAATATATATATATATATGACTTTTCCAATGTCTAGATTGTCCAAATGTTGGCTATTAATACTATTCCTATATAATTAACCTGACAGCATTCGTCATACGAACATTTCTTCTTTGTTATAAGACGTCAATTAAAAAAAAAGTAAATGTCTATGAAAATTTTCTTTTCTAATATTAAGACTAGACAAATAATAAAAAGAAAATTCATTGTTTGTTTTTTTTTGTCTCGAAAGTATGAATGAGTATTACCTGGATTTTGTTTTCTCTTTTAAAAAGAAAAAAATATAGATTTCTTACTTTGTCCATAGTTGAAAAATTGAATGAACATAATGAATAGAAAAATCTTAGAATGTTCTACGCATCAAAGAGAAGATAAGCGATGGTACAAAAAAAAAATATATTTGTGTCTATTAATCAAATAAATAGGTTTATGTAAAAAAGAAAAGATAGAAGTTAATAGATATAACGAACAGTTAAGATAAATATTGTGGCAAGTTAAGTATTATATTTATGTTATATCTGTACTGCTAAACAGTTGTTATTTTCGTCTTCTAACTTGACTTTTCTTATATGTTTATGATCATTATTTGGATGGATTCTGACAAATATTATCGCTTTTTAATGCTTATTAACTTGCATATTAATCATCAATAAGCAAGTCATCTTCATCAACCTGCTCTCATCTTCTTTATCATTTCTGTATTTTTTTTCTTTATGCCACTTATCACTGTCAAGGAACGAAAAAAAAATAAAAGTACTCCTACAAACGTGACATACTAGAACAACCTAGACTTCTATATATATATATATATAGTTAATTCTTTAATCATGTTAGTAAGCACGATGAGAGAGAGAGAGAGAATGAAAACGGATGTGCCCTAGAAACAAGTTCGATTTTGATTAATCGACTTGAGAATTATATGTGGTGTTGTTTATTAATTATAATAAAACTATTTCAATAATATAAATTGTAGAAGATGATGATTGAATAAGAAGATTTTTTTCTATTAACAATATTTTTATTAATTTTGTCTATTTTGTTTAAATCTATTGATGAAGAAATATATATGAAAAATTTATTCGTCAATAATATTGCAATTGATTGTTATTCTTTAGATGTAAATTTCAAAAATAAAAATTCTTTTGTTGTTTTGTCTCTTCGTTCTTTTTTTTTTTTTTTTTAAGATTTTTATGTGACGATTTACATAGTATTTATGTTCTTTCGACAAGCGTCAACGACAATTTGATTTATCGATACTTACAATAATCATAGATGTAAAATAAAAGACTTAATGCAATAAACTATATCGAAAGAAAACTACCAGCAAAAAAAAAATATGACAGTCGAAGTACTTATACAAATACCAACAGATGGTTATTGTCATCTATTTAACAATTTGTTAATGTTCTACTGATAAATGACACAACGTACATCAATATTCAAAGAGAAATGTCGATTGATATTTATATGTTAAAAAAGAAACAATAATTTCTAAATATAGAACAAAAAAATTTTACATAATTATGTTACGATTGATTTTTATGAAATAACAAAAAAAAAAAACTTTTCATTCTATAAAACTGAAATTTTTAGAGTATATGTTTAGTAATCTACAATGCATTTATATTAATAAATATATGACATTCAATAATAAACCTATAGAAGAATAATCGGAAAAATAAGAGAAACAAAAAATGATGATATTAACATATTCATATTTATGAAAATAATTTTGTTTTTTTTTTATATTGAGACCTTTTTCAAATTGTTATTATCTTTTAAGAGTATACACTTATATTAGATCAGATATTATGATTTGCCATTTTGACGAAGAGTATGTCATAATTAGATTAATAAGTTCCATTTTTTGACATAA